GCAAAAAAATTAATTAGTATTTTTTTTCAATGTCATTTGTCGCTTCATGACAATGCTCTATTTCCTTTAAGTAATGTTTATATTGTTCAATTCATAACTGAGAATACAATTAAAGTATAACAGTTGTTTCAGTTTATGTCTTCAATATTCATTTATAGTTACACAATTATATGTTTCCTCTTGTCAGAAACTACCAACTAAATATCTAGTACAAATAAGAACTTGTTTATATCAAAATGAAAAAGAAAGTATCATATATTACAGTGTTCCAGCTAGGATTTCAAAAGGGCAGGGAGCAAATCATGAAAAGGGCACTTTAGCACGATGATTGATATTTCAAAAAGGGCATGTCAAACATTGTCTTATGTTAACTGCAGGGGTTTCAGCTAGGAATTTTGAGGGGGTTTAGTCACTTTTACGCTAGATGAAAATCAACCTTATTTTGGGTAACAGTATTAAAGGGACCATGCAAGGACGTATATTACTAGCTCAGTCTTCCCTAGAACATTTTCGATGCATGGTAGGTCTAAGGTCAAGTTGCAATGCAGAGCGCAGCGGCGTTTTGTAGAATTATTTTTATTTCATTATAGTGAAATAAATAAAATTTCGATTAAAAAACTATTCTGTTTATCATGTTTATGTAATTCATTGTTTCCTGGGACACAATGTATTCATGGTATTAGTCCCAGTTGTTTCTCATCAAAAAGATATATATTTTTAAGAAGTTAAGGTACTTCAATCAGTATATTGAAACCATGCATTTACATAGAAATAAATACATTTAGCAAGGAGATCTAACAAATAGTCTGTTAATGCATGTGGAATGCGTAATTTTCCCTTTTGGGATCATTATTATTCTGTCAGCTGTATCATTTGTGCGTCTGTAGTTATTATCATATAATTGCAGAATTTGGTCATAGCTGGTCCGCTTCCGATGAATCCTGCATCCGATCCATAATTTGTACAAATATTTAAATGGCGGTCGAGGAAAAATTAGCGAAAATAAATGTTTGATTTGGAATGAATATGACGCTTTTAATACAATAAATGGATGAAACATTAACTAAAGGCAATTTTCATCACATTCTAATGAAGTAAAAAACTTATTTTGCCGAAAATCAGAATGTTTAATGTACGCTCTTGAGTAGGAAGTACAGGAAAGGAAAGAAAATACTTCTTTAAAAGTTGTTAATTTGAAATAACATATGACCAATCTGTAAATTCAGTGCTTTCACCTCTTTTCTAAAGAAATAAATCGTATATATCTTTTAATCTCTTCACTTATAACTGAAAAATTGCTGTTTCATCGACATAACAAATATTGCGTAATTGTACAACTTGGTTTGGTCAGCCACTTTATCATCATCGAGGTACCCCGCGTAGTTCTTTCTTCTTTTAGGAGACGTTTATGCCATGATGCAAACGTAGATTTCGATTTGTACTTATGATTTTCTGATTCCAATTTTTCAATATTGGACCACATGTTATTAGTAATTTAGTCATGTCATAAGTGTCAGCTTGTGGTATTCGTATCCAAACATTTATCACCCAAAGGGCAATTAACACCTATTTAAACACTCTTAATTGCCTCTATTGTCCGACTGGAAGGGATTACAATTAAAGATTGTATAATTTTTATGATCACAAGCGGTAATTAGATGAAAGCTAAAAAATTTTGCGGCAATGTATCTAGATAATAGAGACAAGAAAAAATAGCACCTCAAAATAATTATAGCGTTGTGGAAATTATTATAGCGTCACGGAAAAAAATTATAGCGTTGCGGTGCCGCGACCCTAAAACGGCCTGAGGAGATCACTGCTAGTGGTTTCCACTAAACTGACCAAATCACAAACTAATACATGTAAACTAAGCAAAACTTTCAAAGTCAATAGACCATGACAGAGGGGGCGGGGACAAATAATCTCTATGGAAATGAGATGTGGAAATGAGATGTGCTAATGCTAATACAACTGCATACCAAATATTATTGACCTACCACTAGTGGTTCTCCATAAACTGGCCTAATCACAAACTAATACATTGTTGCCACCGCCTATGTCTCGCTTTTTGACTCTGTCAAGGCGATACAAAAATAAGCTAAAAATATTGATAGGTTATAGAACTCCTTTTTTGAGATATTTGATTTTAAAAAAATTGCAGGGAAAAGGTTGACTCTGGCTTTTACCTTATATTTAAGCATTGGCATTATTTGGGTCACAAATCTTAAGAAAAGAAATCTAGAATATGCTTAAATTATGGTAATGACCTTTCAAGAGCTATTGAAGTCTTCTTTGAAAAGAAAAGTGGGTGATATGGGGCAAAATATTTTACCCTGTATTGTATGAAAAAACCCAAGGAGTCTGAACAGCTGACAAAAAAATCCTAAACCTGAACTGACTACATCCTCAAATACAATACAAATTCACATTGTGGCAAAAAGAAACAAGCAACAAGTGCTTATATTAATCTGTCTCCTTAAATTTATATTTCAAGACTGTACATATGCACATTCACGGTTCTACAATCTGTCGATACCTGTATTTTGGCATTGCACAAGGTCATGTTTTTCTCTGACTGTTAATGACGTCTTTACACTAAATCCAGTGGATGTTTGATGTGTGATGGTTGATAGTTTAGTCTTAGATACATGATATTTTTATTAGTTGTTATTGGCTTTAAACTAGCTGTCAGTAACTGTGAGTACTCTCAGATGTATGTCTTCATTGTTGTAGGGATGTATAAATACCCTAACACGTCCGGTCTGTGTTTTTGTTACTTGTTTTTCTGCTTTGTATCAATCTGATGAGTTAAGCCCTTTTCATCTGATTTTTATAGTTTGTTCATATGTTGTACTGTTACACCACTGTCCCAGGTTTATAGGGGGAGGATTGGGTGCCTGCTAACATCTTTAACCCAGCCACATTCTGTATGTGCCTGTCCCAAAACAGGAGCCTGTAATTCAGGGTTATTGTATATCATATTTTTATTTCATTCTTACATAAATCAGGCCATTAGTTTTCTTGTTTTACATTTATCATTTCGGTGGCCTTTTATAGCTGACTATGCAATATGGGTTTTGCTCATTGTTGAAGGCCGTACAATGACCTATAGTTGTTAACTTCAATATCATTTGGTCTCTGATGGAGAGTTGACTCATTGGCAATTACACCACATCTTCTTATTTTTATATGTGTACTAAGTTATAGGTTGATATGACCACATACAGTCTTTAGAAAACTTAAAACTTAAAATTTAACCAATCACATTTCCAGGTTCAGTGAACCATGGCATCTGGGACTAAACCCTAATTTGGCATATATATATTACACAGTTCACTTCATAATGAGCTTGTGTACTAAGTTTCAAGTTGATGTGACCACAGACTACCCTAACCAATAAATGAAGAATGTGTCCCCATGGACACAGATGATGCCCCAGATTGCATACAACATTATAAAAAACATAACTCAAGAACAATAAAAATGCCGCTACCCAAATTTGTACTTGATCTGAGTTTTGTGGCAATAAGTATTGTGTATAGGTTTCATAATGTTTGGTTGTGGCAAACTTAAGTTACAGAACAGAAACTAAAAATTTTGCATTTTTTTCCATTCATAAAGGGGCATAACTCGAGAATGGTTAAAGTGATCCCACCAAAATTCGAACTTGATCTGTATTTTGTGGTAATAAGCATTATGTGTATGTTTTATAACATTTAGTTGAGGTGAACTTAAGTTAGAGAACGGAAACTAAAATTTTTGTAATTTTTCAATTAATAAAGGGGCATAACTCAAAAACGGTTAGAGTGACGCTACCAAAATTCAAACTTGATCTGTATTTTGTGGTACTAAGCATTGTGTATAAGTTTCAGATCATTTGGTTACGGCAAACTTAAGTAAGAGAACGGAGACTAAATATTTAGCAATTTTTCCATTAATAAAGGGCATAACTCGTAAACTGTTAAAATGACACCACCAAAATTCAAACTTGATCTGTATTTTGTGGTAATAAGCATTATGTATAAGTTTTATAACATTTAGTTGAGGCGAACTTAAGTTAGAGAACGGAAACTAAAATTTTTGTAATTTTTCCATTTATAAAGGGGCATTACTCTAGAACTGTTAGAGTGACGCTACCAAAATTCAAATTGATCTGTATTTTGTGGTAATAAGCATTGTGTATAAGTTTCATAACATTTGGTTGAGGCGAACTTAAGTTAGAGAACGGAAACTAAAATTTTTGTAATTTTTCCATTTATAAAGGGGCATTACTCTAAAACAGTTAAAGTGACGCTACCAAAATTCAAACTTGATCTGTATTGTGTGGTAATAAGCATTGTGTATAAGTTTCATATCATTCGGTTACAACAAACTTAAGTAAGAGAACGGAAACTAAAAATTTAGCAATTTTTCCAATTATAAAGGGGCATAACTCGTAAACCATTAAAGTGACGCCACCAAAATTCAAACTTGATCTGTGTTTTGTGGTAATTAGCATTATGTATAAGTTTTATAACATTTGGTGGAGGCAAACTCAAGTTAGAGAACGGAAACCAATTTTGGAATGTACGGACGTACCTACGTACGTAGACGGACAAGGGTAAAACTTTATGCTCCCTCCGCTACGGCGGGGGCATAAAAACTTTACCTGATACAGTGATACAAGATGGACAGACAGATTAATTGGAGGACGGACCCACAGATCGAAATAAGCCATGTTTTTTTAAGTGATTTTAAAGAAGATCATAAATAGGTAGAACCTCTACTATAATGTTTTCAAATGTCTTGTGCAGTTAAATCTTTTTACTGTTATTTACTTTAGATTTATTGATAGTTGGTTGCTTGACATCCTGGTCTTACGCATACTTGATGACAGAAACATCTGTTATATTCATTGAAATGGGTATCACACTTGAATGACATGACATGTAAACATGGTAAGTGACAATAAAGTAACTAAATTGTGTTTTCCTCCCCTCGTAAAGTTTGAACTTATTTACCTCCAAGATCAACTACCATGTACTTCATTCCTGCTTTAATTGTCTGTGCAAATGCATTTTTTTCTTTAGTATCCTGTCTATCAGTCTTAAGGTGCTGGCAGTAAATAGAAGCTGCTTCAGGCTCTAAAGCAATACTCAACTGGCCACTTTTAATACCAGCCTATCAATATATATATATATATATATAGTTTATAGAGAATAGAAAATTATCTTGTATGGATATTCAACAAAAGGCTCCTAAGAGCCAGGGCCCATATGCATAAAACATATTAACTTAAGTGTTCTTTAAACTTAGATTTCACTAAGAATTCCCTGTTGAGTAAAATTCTTCAGTCGTATGCATAAAAATACTTAAGTCTTCACCTAACTAAGGAATACTTAAATCTGAATCTTACTCTAATTACTCTATGAAATATGTTAGCTCATCACATGTACTCATCCGTGCAAAAGTTTGTTTTAAATATTTACATTGATTGAGTAATACATACTTTTATTAAGAACTGGGGTTAAATTGATGTTGGTGTGCAAGGATTAAAAAAAACGTAACTTAATTGTACAAAAAATGCCAAATTGGCACATAAGAGAATAGGTTGTTTTGATGGAATAGCATGGGAAGAAAAAAATATTTGTAATGTGAAAGGGGCTTGGAAGGAAGTATCAAATAAATGTATCAACATAATAAGTACAAAAAATTCCATGAGGAGAGACTCTTAAGAGATCCAAAAGAAGTGGGACAATTTATACATGGAGTGATAAATGTAAAATATCAAAATATTTAGAAATTATCCTCGCAATTTTTTATAGCAAACGAAAATGGATACTCAACATTGTCTTAATCTTAATTTAAAAAAAAATATCCAAATCATCAACCATTCATCTTTCTTGAGTGTTGCTGGATGGAGGGGTATGGGTTTTTTCTGGAGAACCATATATATCTTTTAACTCTACCAATACATGCAGGATAAAGATTTTTTTTTAATCAATCTTTTTAAAATAAATTTTGATAAGAAATAAACTTTTTATTACTTCCCTTTTACAACTAAAAAAAAGGGGGTAGGATAAATTTTCCATGAATTCCTATCAAACCAAGGACATTTTGCGAAAGTTCTTCAATCTTTACTAAAACACACAGTATCCAATCATATGTTTACAGTCAGTTGTTTACAACATCTTAGTGTATTTCCGAATATTTCACTTGAAAGTCATCAATGCCTAAAGATAATTCAAAACTGAAATCTTGCTAGATTTTTGAAAAATTTGTGCAATTATCCAAAAATTGAAGAGAAGAACATACAGCAATATATCCTTGAATATTTTTGGAAATATGAAAACTAATTGAATACGGTTTATGTCTCATAAGAATGTTTTATAGACTTCAAAATGTAGTAGGTCTTAAAACCTTTATGATTTTGTCCCAGTTGGTGAAACAAACTCAGGTGAAATTTGCCCTACATCTTTAGAATAAAACTATATAATTGGAAATCTTATGTCCCCCTTCCCCAGAAAATCATGATTTTGCATGACTGAAGATCTTCATCGCTTCCTTCATGCTTTTTTTGTACGAACAATCCATACCAGGTGGTGTATTTTAACAATAGAATGTTCAACGTTATTCATGTAAGCATGCACAAACAGAAGAATCATAAGAAATAAATGTGGATAGTGTCCACATGTGGACACAGATGATGCCCCCGCTTGCATATCATATAGTTATAAAGGGACATAACTGAAGAACGGTAAAAGTGACACTACCCAAATTTGAACTTGATCTTAGTTTTGTGGTAATAAGCATTGTGTGTAAGTCTCATAACATTTGGTTTAGGCTAACTTAAGTAGAGAACAGAAACTAAAAATTCAGCAATTTTTCTATTTGTAAACATGCATAACTCTAGAACAGTTGTGTATAAGTTTTATAACATTAAGTTGAAACAAACTAAAAAATTCAGCAATTTTTATGTTTATAAAGGGACATAACTCAAGAATGGTAAAAGTGTCGCCACCTTATTTCGTACTTAATCTGTACTATGTAGTAATAAGCATTGTGTATAAGTTTCATAACAGTTGGTTGAGGCAAACTAAAGTTAGAAAACGGAAACAAAAAATTTGTACTTGATCTTAGTTTTGTGGTAATGAATATTGTGTATAGGTTTCATAATGTTTGGTTGGGGCAAACTAAAGTAACAGAATGGAAACTAAAAATTTTGCAATCTTTCGATTTATAAAGGGCATACCTCAATAATGGTTAAAGTGACACTACCCAAATTCAACTTGATCTGTGTTTTATCAGTGGAAGTCAAAATTAAACATTGCATTGTATAAAGCATTGATTGTAGTTGATTCAACTATAATCATGGACAAAGGGAGATAACTCCAATTTTAATATAAATCACTTGATATTTACAAGAAAATAAAAATTTTGCAATTTTTCCATTTATAAAGGGGTATAACTCTAGAACGGTTAAAGTGACTCCACCAAAATTCAAACTTGATCTGTGTTTTGTGGTAATAAGCACTGTGTATAAGTTTCAAAACATTTGGTTGAGGCAATCTTAAGTTAGAGAACGGAAACTAAAAATTTTCCAATTATTCCATTTATAAAGGGGCATAACTCTAGAATGGTTACAGTGACGCCACCAAAATTCAAACTTGAACTGTGTTTTGTGGTAATAAGCATTGTGTATAAGTTTCATAACATTTGGTTGAGGCAAACTTAAGTAAGAGAACGGAAACTAAAAATTTTGCAATTTTTCCATTTATAAAGTGGCATAACTCTAGAACGATTAAAGTGACGCCACCAAAATTCAAACTTGATCTGTGTTTTGTGGTAATAAGCACTGTGTATAAGTTTCATAACATTTGGTTGAGGCAAACTAAAGTTAGAAAACGGAAACAAAAAATTTGTACTTGATCTTAGTTTTGTGGTAATGAATATTGTGTATAGGTTTCATAATGTTTGGTTGGGGCAAACTAAAGTAACAGAATGGAAACTAAAAATTTTGCAATCTTTCGATTTATAAAGGGCATACCTCAATAATGGTTAAAGTGACACTACCCAAATTCAACTTGATCTGTGTTTTATCAGTGGAAGTCATAATTAAACATTGCATTGTATAAAGCATTGATTGTAGTTGATTCAACTATAATCATGGACAAAGGAAGATAACTCCAATTTTAATATAAATTACTTGATATTTACAAGAAAATAAAAATTTTGCAATTTTTCCATTTATAAAGGGGTATAACTCTAGAACGGTTAGAGTGACGCTACCAAAATTCAAACTTGATCTGTGTTTTGTGGTAATAAGCATTGTGTATAAGTTTCATAACATTTGGTTGAGGCAAACTTAAGTTAGAGAACGGAAACTAAAAATTTTGCAATTTTTCCATTTATAACGGGGCATAACTCTAGAACGGTTAAAGTGACGCCATCAAAATTCAAACTTGATCTGTGTTTTGGGGTAATAAGCACTGTGTATAAGTTTCATAACATTTGGTTGAGGCAAACTTAAGTTAGAGAATGGAAACTAAAAATTTTCCAATTATTCCATTTATAAAGGCGCATAACTCTAGAACGGTTACAGTGACGCCACCAAAATTCAAACTTGATCTGTGTTTTGTGGTAATAAGCATTGTGTATAAGTTTCATAACATTTGGTTGAGGCAAACTCAAGTTAGAGAACGGAAACCAATTTTGGGACGTACGGACGTACGTACGTACGTACGTACGTTCGTACGTACAGACGGACAAGGGTAAAACTTAATGCCCCCACCGCTACGGCGGGGGCATAAAAATAACAGCATGAATTCCATTCGTGTAAACATTGTGAGTACTTTTCGGAATACACAATAGCAAGATTTAGACATAAGGGTAGAATGAAATTATACAACTACCCTCTGTTAATTCTTGATTTTGTTGATTTGTTGATTATACATGATTTTAGGAAAATTGAAATGGTCATTAATATTAAGCAATAAACAAACAAAATATTTCAGATATAATTACTAATTAATTAAATGGTAGGGTACCTTATACTTAAGTATAATCTTAGGCGTTTTCTATTTTAAGGGGTTTTATGCATACCACTTAAGTTTTATGGGTGTGACTTAAACCAACTAAAATTTTACTAAGGAAATACTTAGTTTAAGATGTTTTATGCATACCACTTAGGTAAAAAGGGCGGAGTTATCTTAACTTAAGTGTTTACTAAGGAAAATCTTAACTTTAATAGCTTTATGCATACATGCCCTGAATCGCTCATCTGGTAAATGTTTAGCAATTTGATATTTAGTTTACCTTTTTCAAAATAAAACAATGTTTTTTCAGAAACAAACTTCTTTTTTTCAAACCTTCAGCTTTTCAGAGGCCTTCCAGTTAAATAAAAGAGATTGCGGTTTTCTAAATAATAGGCAAAAAGACTCAAAATTAGTCAAAAAATAACTGTTAAGGATATTAACTCCCTTATATAGTCATCCAATGGTTTCCATCATATTTATATTTTTGCCCATCTTGAAAATTGATAATTTCTAATTGACCCCCGCAAAATTTTTTTTTACCCCCCCCCCAAAAAAAACAATCCCAACCTTCCTTTTGTGGTATTGAACCTTTTGGTTGAATTTCATAGAGATCCATACACTTAAACTAAAGTTATTGTCTGGAAACCAAATGTCTTTGGACGACGACAATGCCGACGTGATAGCAATTTACGAATGCAAATTTTTTGCGGTTGTATAAAAACTGGAAAATTTATAAAAAATCTTCATTTCAGTGCAGTAACTCCTATTTGGAGTCATCCAATCAGTTTAGTCATATTGACATATTTGTATAATTTTGTATTGTTGGTCAGTTTTACTGTTCACTTAAAGAGTTTTCTCTTATCTATAATAGTTTTACAGATAACAGGAAAAAACTTGAAAATTACTTTTAAATAAAAGAAGAATGTGTCTGAGTACACAAATGCCCCTGCTGTCTGGGAGTTTTGGTTCTAAGTATTGTTTATGAGTTTCATAAAATTTGAAAGAAGAAAACTTAAGATAGAGTGCATAAATAAAAATAGGACGGACAGATGGACAGACGTCAAGGGTAACACTTAATGCCCACTTTGCCTAGCGGCAGGAGCATGAAAGTCATTGGAAGGCAAAAACTTCTATATGAGGAGCCAG